CGGCCCCTGCGGGGAAGCGCGCGCCGCGCCCTGCGGCATCCCCAGCGCGTGTCGGCGGCGGGTTCCCAGCCGCCCGGGTGACACACAGCAGCGTGTCGTTCGTGTCGGAGGAGGGCAGCCCGCCCGCTGCTGGCGTGAAGGGCGGCCCTGCTTCTCCGCTGCCAGGTCGCTAAGCCTCAGGTCCAAGAAAAACAAACCCTGGCGCAGTCGTGGCTTTTTATTTCTGTTATTAACTGAATTGCATCAGATGGCATAATCTGTATTTGGAGTCCAAAGTGGTGGTTTCTGACTAGTTATGCGTCCTCCAGTCCGCTCAGTTTCCGAGAAATGTGCGAACGTCACAGCGTTAAGGAGCTGAGCTAGCTACAGGGTCAGGAGGCCACCTCTTAGGGGACAGCCGTCAGAGTTGCCATCAGGCCTTAGCCAAATGAGTTAATGTGGTGCATGACTGTTCCTCCCGAGGCAATTCTTAGGGAACCATATTAAAATACCGTATATGGGTTATTTTCCTGACAGGATCGTGGTGGCAACTTTAAGAAAATGGTTGGACAGTGATTATAGCTTGCTGATGCCTGTAGGAAGTATAGGCTTTGAATGTTCAATAGGCTTTGAACATTCAACGCAGTTCATCCCAGTAACAAAGTTTTAACTATTTTTGTCAGACATTATCCTAGAGAAGAAAGATGCAAAATGCGTTACGACTTAATCCCAGCTGTCTGGAAGGCTGAGGCAGCAGTGCACGTTGGAACAAAGCCTGAGCCACTGGGCAACTTGTCAAAACACTGTCTGGCGGGGAGGCGGGCGTCGACGGGACGTAGCTCACTGCCTCTGTCCTGAATTCAATCCCCAGTTCCCCAAATAACAGTAATAAACTAGACTCAGTACCTTCCAAAGCTCCCGCCCTTCTTGCCTTTATTTTGAACCCAACATTGTTCTGCATAGTGTTTCCCTCCATACTCTCTGTTGGTATTAAAATATTCTTCAGCACAATCAGGATCTCAGAAATCAGAGTACCGACGCTAACTAGCTAGAATGGACCCCTGATCTAGGGCCTCAGTTCTCAAGCTGTAACCTGGGGACCTTTCCCTGTTCCTGAGGCTCTTTCAGGAAATCTGTGAGGTCAGAACAGCTTCAGGACAGTGTGACCCTCGCTTTCTCTCTCATTCCCTCACAGGTACACAGTGGGATTTTCCAGACGCTATATTGTGATACTGTAACAGAGTGAATGCAGAGGGGTGCGTGAGAATCAGCTGTCACTGAGAGATTTACCAAAAAAAAATTTTTTTTGAAAACTCACACAAAAATAATGTCAATCTTCTTGCTAATTTTTATTTGGAAAACAGTAATTGTGCATTAAAACTATGCATAAAAAAAGCTATTCATGTATGTTAGCATGTAGTAGATTTTCAATTTAGAGGAATTTTTAATTTTTTTTGGTTTTTCTCCCGTACCGGGAACCAAACTCACGACCTTGCGCTTGCCAGGCAGGCGCTTTTGCCGCTGAGCTAAATCCCCAGCCCCGGAATTTTCTTTTTTCATTAGTAATTTTCATAATTTACCAGTTTTTGGATTTAATGTGGTAAGTACCAACAGATATAAACCATACAAGAAAACTTTTGTTTTTAATTTTTATTTATTTATTTATCTGGTCTCTTTGAGACAGGGTCTCATGCCAGGCGTGGTGGCGCACACCTGTAATCCTGGCACTTGGGAGGCTGAGGCAGGAGGATCACTGTGAGTTTGAGACCAGCCTGGGCTAAACTGCACAGTGAGACTCTGTCTCAAAAAGACTAAATAAATAAATAAATAAACGGGGTGGAAGTGGTGGCACACACCTGTAATCCCAGCACTTGGGAGGCTGAGGCAGGAGGATCACTGTGAGTTTGAGACCAGCCTGGGCTAAACTGCACAGTGAGACTCTGTCTCAAGAAGACTAAATAAATAAATAAATAAATAAATAAACGGGGTGGAAGTGGTGGCACACGCCTGTAATCCCAGCACTTGGGAGGCTGAGGCAGGAGGATCACTGTGAGTTCGAGACTAGCCTGGGCTACAAAGTGAGCTCAAGGCCAATCTGAACTTCACAGGGAGACCCTATCTCAAAAAAAAAAAAGAGGCTAGTCTTGAGCTCACTTTTGTAGCTCAGGCTGGCCTCGAATTCAGTGATCCTCCTGTCTCAGCCTCCCGAGTGCTAAGATTACAGCTGTGCACCACCACGCCCAGCGGCAACTTTATTTTATTTATTTATTTATTTATTTAGGTACAGGCAGTTGAACTCAGGACTTTGTGCTTGCCAGGCAGGTGCTGTGCCATTAAGCTATATCCCCAGCCCAGCAACTTTATTTTAAAAAGATAGATTTTTATGAGAATATATGAGCACGTATTTAGCTTAATAGGTCATGGGTATTTTCCCCAATTGTGATAATGTACCTCCTAGTGGAAATACAGACATAAACTAGAAAAAAATGGAAAGGACAGAGGAATAAAAAGTGAATGTGGGGAGATTATTCAGAGAAAGAGTAGTCTTATACACTTGAAAGCATGTCCAAGATGCTACAGTTGCACGTGGCAACTTGCTGTAGTGTTAATCAAAATTAAAATGGGAGGGGCTGGGGATTTAGCTCAGCGGCAAGAGCGCCTGCCTGGCAAGCGCAAGGTCGTGAGTTTG